GGGGCAGGGGGGACTGAGATGCTGACTGAATGTTCTCAGTCACGTCTTTGCTCCTTCCCCTCCCTGCAAACTCTGCCCTTGCTGCCAGCAGAGCCGAAGGGAGCCGAGCTGGTGACGTGGTGGCTGAGGCTCTGACTCGCACAGTAACCCCCCGTGTCTCTGAACTGTTGTCAGGTGGTGACGGCAGCACCGCAGCGCTTCCAGGTGGACATCCTCCCTGTGGATGATGGGACACCCAGGGTGGTCACCAACCTGGGCCTGCAGTGGCTGGAGTACACGGATGGCAAGGTAACACCTGCCTGGCCTCAGCTTGGGCTGCTTCTCAGGCTGCTCCAGGAGAAGGGGCTTCACAGGAGAGCATCCTCATCCTTCAGCACTTTGATTTTTGGGATGGAGAATACCCTCCCCAGGGTACATTTTTAGCTTTGCTGACGGTGGAGATGTCTTGATGATGTGCTGCAGAGATAGATGGCTTTCCAAGGATACGGTGCAGGAGTTTCTTGCTGTAACATGCCTTTGTTGTGCTGAAATCCAAACAAAACCCCACAAAACTCTCAGCTTGTTTTTGAGGAGCCAGCACTAACTGTAAAGAAACACTTTGGTTCTTCCCAGAAAAAAAATGAGTGGAAAACGCTGTAGTAAGAAATTGCATTAAGAAATGGCTATCTCAGCTCAAACTCCTCACTTCAGGAGAAGCACTCCTGCAGCCTCGAGCAGCACAATTTTCTCTCTTTCTCCTGCTGTCAAAAACGTTCTGCTTTTGAAGAGAAAGCAAAATGTGGTGGAACTGAATCAGATCCACATAAGGGCATTTGAAAAGTGCTCTCCTGGAGGCTATCCAGGCTTGTGTGAACTGTCTTGAGTGAGTCCTTCGATCTGAGGCTGTTTGCAGATGTTTTTTTGCCAAGCAGGGCCTCACCTGAGCGTCAGCACAGCTCGTGGAACAGAGCTTTCTAAGTGAAGCCCAAAGATTTGTCCTAGCTTTTAGCCCCAGCTAAATAAGGCTGGGCAGCTGCTTTGGAATTTGCTTTTCTTTGAGCCACATCTGTCTTTTTAATTAAACTAAATCTGGTTTAATTAAACCAGATGCGAGGCAAAATTTGAATCTTTGTTGTGTTGTCAAATACGTTGTGGGATATCTCAGTTCAAGGCTGCTCTGTGCTTTCACATCCCTAGATTTTGCCTTTGTCTGTTTTAACAGAGGGATGGTCGGGCTTTTTGTGTGAACAGTCAATCAGACTTGCACTGCTGGAGCTTCAGTTTTACTCCCTTGGTTTTGGCTTTAATCCAGGCCACCAATCTCATCACTAAGAAGGAATTACTGACGACAGATCCTGACACAGATGACAAACAGCTGATCTATGAGATAACAGCCGGTCCCAGAAATGGCCACGTGGAGAACAAGCTGAAGCTGGGCACAGCTGTGACCACCTTTACACAGGGTATGGAGCTGGGCTGTGTCCTGCTGCTTTTTTCCATCACTTGATTCAGTCTGTTAAAATCAGGAAAAAATAGGTGTGAGGGGAGAAGACAGGGGGCAGATCTCCAAAGTGTGTTGACAATAAGCATTGAACTTGGCTGTCAGTTGCAGAAATCCTGTCATTTCTTGGAGACACCAGCCTGTGTCCTGCAGCTTGTCCCAGGTTCTCCAGGCTTGTTAGAGCTGGAGCTGTGACTTGGGGCAGTGAAGAGGTGTAATAGATCTTGCAGGTGTTCATCACAGTCTGGCAGAGGTGTAGCTAGCTGTGCAGAGCCAGCACAATGTGGGGAGAGTTCACTCTTGCGGGGCTGAGGGAAGGGGAGGTGAGGGGGTAACTGCTCCCTGTGATCCTCGCTCCATGTGGCCGTGCAGACCCACACTGCTCATCTCCAAAGCTGCCTTGGGATTTCTGTTCCAACTCCTTTGACGTTCCCTCCCGGCAGAGGATGTGAACCAGGGCCTCATTCGGTACGTGGCGCACGAGGAGAAGGTCCAGGAGACCGCGGACAGCTTTCAGTTCCTAGTGAAGGACAGCAAACCCAACGTGGTCAGCGGCAACGTCTTCCACGTCCAGTGGTCCCTTCTCAGCTTTACTCACGGCAGGTAAGTGGCACGAGGGGCACTTGGCTGGGGGCTGGGCTCTTAGCTGAGCTCCCTGCAGCGTGGGAAGGCAATTCTGTCAGTGAGGAGAGGGGCCTAGAGCGTGGAGCAGCTGCCCCGTGCCCAAGTCCCCGGTTGTTATTGTTCCTCGGATCTCCCAGGCAGGCCGTGCTCACCCCCACACACCTGCACGGGGTTTGCTCCCCAGCCCATTACCTGTGTGTGCTCGATCCCTTTCCAGCTACGAGGTCAGGGAGAGCGCCGGCTCCGTCAGCGTCGCCGTGAGGCGGGTGGGGAACCTCAACCAGTACAGCATTGTCCTGTGCCGCACCGAGCAGGGAACGGCCACCGCTGGAGCCACATCACGGCCTGGGGAGCAGGACTACGTGGAGTATGCGGGGCAGGTGGGTGGGCCTGACCACACCTGCCACAGAGCCTGGAGGAAAGTACAGACAAAAAGTGCTAAAAACACCGAGGAGGGTGTGTTTTATTCCTAAAGTCACGCGGGTTATTTGCTGTCAGAAGAGGGAATGCCTCAGAGCAGGGTGAGACGGGAAGGACGGGAAGCTCCAGAGCCCGGTCCAAGGACAGCAGCCAGATTTCTGCCTTCCAGGTGCAGTTTGAGGAGCGGGAGGACACCAAGGCCTGTACCATCACCATCAACGACGACGACGTGTTCGAGGGCACGGAGATCTTTTCCGTGGAGCTCAGCATGCCGGCCTACGCCCTGCTGGGGAACGTCACCCGGGCCACCGTCACCATTGCGGACCCCGAGGACGAGCCCACACTGCAGTTCGACAGGAGCGCCTTCCACGTCAGCGAGAGCGCCGGCTTGCTCTCGGCTCCCGTGCAAAGGAAAGGTGGGTCGAGCTGGGCAGGACGTCCTGAGCCCCATGGGAGGGACATGTGGCAGAGGGGGAACCCTCGTGACAGAGAGCGAGCCCTTGGGCTGTGCCTGCTTGTGGTTTTGGGGTCTTCTCCGATGTTCTGTGGCACGACTGTGAAATGGCAAGCTACACACACTGTGTTTGTTCTTTAAACCTTTCCTGTCTCTGCTGTTAAAGCTTCTTGGGTTTGGATTTGTTTCAGCTCCCAGCAGGAGCAAACCCTTGTATTTGTTTGCTGCTTCTCTGTGATCTAGACAGTGTTTTATGTGGACCCTGTCACTGGGCTGTGTGTTAATAGGCAAGTGCCACCGGCTTCCTGAGTGTGGATTTAGGAGCATGCCTGGAAGTCATGTCTAAGCCAGCTGCCATGCAAGTTCAGGAGCAGAGACAGTGTTCTTTTTCATTCCTCACCCTCTTTTCCGAATGCTGCTTTATTATTTATGTGACCTGTGCCTCCAGCAAACAGATTAAAAGTATTTCCACAGAATTACGGAGTTTTCCTGTTGCTTCCTAGGGGATGCCAGCAGCACCGTGTCTGCCATCTGCTACACCATCCCCAAATCGGCCAAGGGCAGCGGCCTTCACATGCTGGAATCCGGCTCCGACTTCAAGTCCCGGGGGCTGTCGGATGAGAGCCGCCTCATTTTGGGGCCAGGTGTCACCCTGGTGACCTGTGATGTCACTCTGATCGACGACAGTGAATATGAAGAGGAAGAGGAGTTTGAGGTGGTGCTGGCCGATGCCTCGGACAACGCCCGCATCGGCAGCCGGGCTTCAGCCAACGTGGTCATCGCCGGTCCCAATGATGCCTCCACGGTGTTCCTGGGGAATGCCACCTTTACTGTCAGCGAGGCTGCAGGTGAGGAGCAGGGGGTCGTGTTGGGATGCTCACTGTAGAAGCTTTCACCACCAGGAGGTGCCAGAAGGAGCAATTTGGGGCACAGCAGAACTTCAGAGATGTGCGGATGGGCTCTGGTTCCCTGTGTGCCCAGGGGGAGCCTGGGGGCAGGAGCAGTGCTGCAGGGCAAGGCAGGGGTTTGTGGAACGTGGCTGCTCTCTCAGTTTGTGCTCTCTCAGTTTGTTCTCTCTCATGTGCACGTGCTGCTGCAGGACACATTGAGATCCCAGTGCTCCGGCAGGGACCCGACCTCTCCACACCCACGTCAGTGTGGTGTGCCACTCGGACGTCAGACCCGCCCTCGGCCAGCCCGGGAGTTGATTATGTCCCCAGCTCCAGGAAAATAGAGTTCAGGCCAGGCAAGACAGAAGAGGTGAGGAGCCACTTGGACTCCTGCTGGGTCTGCTTTGCCTGGTGACACTTGTCTTGTGTTTCTGTGCATATCTACCATTTGTTTTGAAAATCCTCGCTGGGCCACTTGAGAACTGTTAATGAGTCTGCTAAGCACAGACTCCCATCCCATCAGCACTCCAGCCAGGAGAGATTTGGTCGTGCCACCTCTTCCAGGATAAAGATGGCTGCCCTGTTCTCTGAAATGATAAGCTGGATTCACGTAGAACGTTCTTTGCATTGATTAATGGATTCAGAAAACCCAGTGACATAATGGCTTTACACTAGACTGCCAGATGTGGGTGCTGGGAGGGATGAAAGCTTTGTACGTCTAACAGCAGGAATTCCACTTTCCTCCCAGTTCTGCCCCCTGACAATCCTGGACGATGCTCAGTAGCCAGTGATAGAAGGGCTGGAGACATTTGTTGTTTACCTCAGCTCCCCCTACGGAGCCGAGCTGGCAAAGCCGTTCCAGGCCGTTGTGGCCATTAACGACATTTTCCAAGACGGTAAGTTACCCCTGGCAGCTCTATCTGCTCCATTCCGGCCCCTTGGCTCCCTGAGGATCCTCAGCTCTGCTGGGCTCTGTTTCTGCCCCTCTGCAGTGCCCAGCATGCAGTTCACCAAGGACACCTACACGGCCAAGGAGAAGGAAGGGACCCTGCACATCCCCATCTTCCACATGGGGGACCTGAGCTACGAGTCCTCCGTCAGGTGCTACACATGGAGCCAGACGGCGCAGGTCACGGAGGACTTCGCGGAGAGGAGGGATGCAGAGGAGTCTCGCATCACCTTCTTCAAAGGGGAGAAGGTGAGCTGGACCTGCCTCGTGGGGGAGCGAAGAACCAGTGCTGGGAGAGAGGTTCACGTCTCCTCCTCGGCTCTCTGTCGTCAGAGGGAGCTGGCAGAGTTGTCCAGGCTGGTTTCAGGTGACACAGATTCTTGTCCTAGCAGCGTGAGCCACTCTGAAGGGGCTGTGCGTTTCATGATGAAACTGGTTACATTATGAAATGTAAATCTGATGCATCAGGAGGACTCAGGGTTGTTCTACAGAGAGCTGTGGGATTGTGGAAAGAGATGTCTTTGCTGATGTGTCTCCTCATGTAACAGGCTGTGCTTTGTCCACACTGAAGTAGCAGCCCTAAAAATAGAAGGGTTTCTTCCAGGATGGACAGCAACCCTGGATAGTGAGGCACAGCCTGGCCTTCACGGGGCTTTATCAGATGTATCAGTGTGCGCTGCTTTCTCCTCTTCACTTGGCTGTAGGTGAAGAACTGCAGCGTCCACATCAGTGACGACTCTGCCTTCGAACCAGAAGAGCAGTTCCAGGTCTGTCTGGGTAGCCCCCTTGGAAACCATTGGAGCGGAGCTCGGGTTGGGAAGATGGACGTGGCAACCATAACTATCAGCAATGAGGAAGATGGTGAGTGAGGCTGCTCTGCAAGGACGTCCTGCTGCTTCCCAGGGAGTCGGCACAGTCCCAGGGCTGCAGTGAATGCCTTTGGTGCCGTGCTCACAGCCCTGTGCTGGGCTGAAGGGAGGGCTTGGCTAAGAGAGCTCAGCCCCACCACCTCTCCTGTTTCCATTGCTGGAAGTTGCTGTGCTTCCCCTGGGAGATGTTCCTCTCCCTCCACAGCATCACAGCCTGGAGAGATCTGTGGGGGGAGAAGAGGGATGCCAGGGATGGGAGAATCATTTGCCATCCTCTGTAACCCAACGCCCTCGTTAAGTTCTGCCCTAAGTCACACCCAAGCCTTTTTGGCCCCTGCTTTGAGAAGCCCCTCGCTCCGAAGGCGTGTAGACGAGTCTGAAAGGAGCTGAGCTGAGCCAGTCAGGGGTGCAAACCCAGAGCTTTTCCCCTCCCTGCTGTGCCTGCAGCCCCCACCATCGAGTTCGAAGAGGCCGCGTACCAGGTGCGGGAGCCGCTGGGCCCGGAGGGAGTGGCTGTGCTGAACATCCCGGTGATCCGCAGGGGCGACCAGAACAGAACCTCCAAGGTGCGCTGCAGCACCCGCGACGGCTCGGCACAGGCCGGCGTGGATTACTACCCCAAGAGTCGGATGCTCAAGTTCAGCCCAGGTGAAGGGGCCTGGCGGGGAGGGTCAGAGATGGGGACGTGACCAGGGACGTTTTGTGCGCACCAGGGACGTCCAGGAGGTTTGGGAAAAGCCACTGGAAAAGCATGAAGTTTGCTGTAATGTTGTTACTCAGAATTAGCTGATGTGTTTAAAGGAAGGCTGATCAGAGCAGGGGAGGAAGCGCTGGCACTTGGCAGAGTCAAGTCCTGAAGGAACATAGGGCTGTGAACACCTCAGACCACCTTGCTGGACCAAGAAGCCCTCACCAAATGGCTCTGCACACTGGTCTGAGGAAGAGGAGGGATGGGAATGTGCTTTGCATCCCAGATTTTTCCTCCAGACAGCTACTACAAGACAGTCATTATTAATCCTCTGATGGCATCTGCTAGTAAATCTATCACCAGATCGATTGGATCAGTTGTCATAGCTGGAGTTTTCTGTTTATAGTGGGCTCCTCTGGGTAAATTATTACCAGCAATGAGTGGAAATAAAATTTATAATGCATATTTTACCTAATGGTCTAATGCTCAGACCATAATGCTGCTGGTCACAGCCAGGAGCAGGGTCTGGATGAGAACTTCAGAGCAGTCTCTGATGATGAATCCACTTCTCTCTGATTTTCTTGCACTCGCTCCCTCAGGCGTGGCCCACATCATGTTTAAGGTGGAAATCATGTCCAACGAAGACCGGGAGTGGCACGAGTCCTTTTCTCTGGTGCTGGGCCCAGATGATCCTGTGGAAGCAGTTCTAGGAGACACCAGCACTGCCACAGTGACTATTTTGGATCAGGAGGCAGCGGGGAGCCTGATTCTCCCAGCACCTCCCGTGGTGAGTGGATGTGAGTTGGTGCCCTTCAAGCACAGAGTGGAAACCACAGTGGGATTTGGGAAATAGAAGGTGGGGCTGCCGTGGCAATGTGGGAGGCGAGGATGGCTTTTTCCACCCTTTCCCTCGGCTCCAGCTGAGTGCTGCCCTCTGGTTTCCCACAGGTGGTCACCCTGGCTGACTACGACCGCGTGGAAGAAGTGACCAAGGAGGGTGCTAAGAAATCCCCCTCCCCGGGCTACCCCCTCGTCTGTGTCACTCCCTGTGACCCTCACTTCCCCAAGTACGCCCTGATGAAGGAGCGCTGCGGCGAGGCCGGGATCAACCAGTCTTCCATACAGTTCAGCTGGGAAGTGGCCGCCCCCACGGACGGGAACGGAGCCCGCTCGCCTTTCGAGACCATCACGGACAACACGCCCTTCACCAGCGTCAACCACAGGGTACGCGGGCGGGGAGGCACCGGCATGGCAGGGCCACAGAGATTCTGGCCTAAAAATCTCCTTGGATTTGGGACTAGCTGGGAGCCCTGGGTGCTTGGGGTTAGAAAATGGAGCGCTGGTTTTCCTTAAGCCCGCTGCTTTCCCCCTCCTCGTTGCCTCAGGTGCTGGACAGCATCTACTTCAGCCGGCGGTTCCACGTGCGCTGCGTGGCCAAGGCTGTGGACAAGGCTGGCCACGTGGGGACCCCCCTGAGGAGCAACGTGGTGACCATAGGCACAGACAGTGCCATCTGTCACACGCCAGTGGTGGCGGGGACGGCCCGAGGCTTCCAGGCACAGTCCTTCATTGCCACGCTCCGGTACCTGGATGTGAAGCACAAGGAGCATCCCAACAGGTACGAGCCTGGAGAAGGGGGAGTGCAGCCCTTCAGCAGCCCCTCCCCGAGCTCACAGGGCTGCCTGGGCTCACAAGCACGACGTGTGTGTGAAGCCACATCACTCCTGGAGCGTGGGGTTTGTGCTGTGCCACTCTTCTCACACCCTGCTCGGCCGAGGGGGTGCCCTTCCCCTCAGGAGCTGGGAGTGGGTGGGACAGCCTAAGGAGCAGGTGTGTAGCTGGGGAAATACAGCTCAAACTCCACATCAGGCTCACCTGCCGGGGCTGTGCTGCTGTGGGGATCCTGTGCCTGCCAGGCTGTGCTCCTGTTCTGCTGTCTCATGTGCTGCTTGTTCCAGGATCCACATCTCGGTGCAGATCCCCCACCAGGATGGGATGCTGCCCCTCATCTCCACGCTGCCGCTGCACAACCTGCATTTCCTTCTCTCCGAGTCCATCTACAGGCACCAGCACGTCTGCTCCAACCTGGTCACTGTCAGAGACCTCAGGGGCATCTCAGGTAACCTTCAACGCCAGCCTTTGCTTCCTGAACGTGGAAGCCTGGAAAGAATCACAGAGAAGGGCGGCTTTGTCTTCCTCTGGGCTCTCTTGACGTGATGTAAATGGCAATAAATCTTCCCACTCTGACAGCAGTGACCGGAGTTGCCCCGTTGGCGATGGGATTCCAGGCGTGGGAATGTTTGAGCTTGTAGCTTGTGGGTTCATGTTGTGCTGGTGATTTTCTGCTTTTCACATCTGTCTTGTGATATCCACTTGGGCAGAGAGGGATCTGCAGGGCTGGATGGCTGTGTCTGGGTCACTGAGGTCTCCCATGAGGCAACAAAAGCAATTCACTGCTGAAGGAAATGTCAGAGCTGAAAAGAACAGGCAGATTGGTGTCTCTGATACTGCAGGCAGTGAAATCCATGGTACATCTAGGCGGGCAGCGAGTTGTGCTTCACTCTGATAATTCCATACTCAACCTGTTCCTCATTTCTTAAAGGTTCACTTCAGCCTTGAATCAGCAGGTCCCTAGGTTCGATTTTTTAGCATGCCATTCCTGTAAGATTTTCCCCTGTGAAGACCCGAGTATGTCCTCCGAGTTTGACCTCCAGGATAATGAAGGGAGAGGAGCTCCCGTTGATTCAAGAGTGAAGCAAGGCCTCCGTTCTTGGCCTCGGGCTGTTTCAAATGGGGAGGGATCAGTGTCCTGACTTCTCTCCCACAGAGGCAGGGTTCCTGGACGAAGTGACCCAGGGCAGCTTCGTGCTGGGCCCGGGCTACGACCGCCCCTACCAGCTGGACCCCGCGGTGAGGGAGCCCAAGAGCATCCAGCTGTACCAGCACCTCAACCTCAAGAGCTGCATCTGGACCTTCGACGCTTATTACGACATGACCGAGTTAATTGATGTCTGTGGGGGCTCTGTCACCGCTGACTTCCAGGTGAGAGGCCCATCCAGAGCTCTCCAGGTATCCCAGATCTGTCTCAGTTCTCAGGCACAGCTCTGCCTTGTGTGGAGCTGCTGCTCTGCCCTGCACAGGTGGAGCGTGGCTTTTCCCCCCCTCTCACCTGGAAGAAAACAGTGCTGTGTGCATTTATTTAATTTATTTTCCATTTCATTAATTTTCCATTTATTTTATTCTCTAAATCTTCAGAGTGCCAGGAAAATACTGGTTTTTTTTAATGTAGGGCCATACTGGAAATACAAAACATTCTCAGCTGGGCTCTCTTTTATAATTTTGACTGTGTTCTCGGCCAATAGAACTGAGCAGAGGACAGAGCAGAGGCGGCTCAGTCCATGCTCCACAACATGGGATATTTTGGCTCGTTCCCTAATTAAGAGACCAGAAGCCAAAAATGTTCCTCTAGAAACGAGTGGCTTTCCCTATTTGGGGTGTCTCACTGTCCTCTCCTGGCTGCGTTATCCACCTGCAGCCCACTCCATCTCCCCCAGGCTCTCCCATTAAATTCCCAGCCCACATTGCTTGGACCAGCATCATCTCTCTTAATTCCTGCCAGCCTGGAACTTGTTCATGAAGTTTCCTTTTATAGCTCCAATTGTTTGCACAAACCCAGAGGAGCCGCTTGGCCGGAGAAACTGCCCAGTGGAGCATGTGGAACCTGGCCCCAGCCAGGCTGGAACATCTTCCCGAATTCTCCAGGGCCTGCAAAGTACAGCTGCACTCTGCAGATAATAAATGGAGAGCTCTGGGAGGCCTGAGCAAGCAGAATTGCTCATTTTTAATTCACAGCCTTGGAAATCAGGGGGGTTTTGAGGTGAAATTGTGCCCAGAGTTCCTTTGTCCCGTGGTCCCAGGGAGCCTTAGCATCGCCCCTGGATTACAACGCAGGTTTGTCTGAGGTACCTGCGCGTAAAGAACGTCCAGAGTCACCTCTGACTTCACTGGAAGGTGCGTAACCCCCTTTTTGGGGTTTTATTGCCAGGTAAGGGACTCTGCCCAGTCCTTCCTGACAGTCCACGTCCCTCTCTACGTGTCCTACATCTGTGTGACGGCACCGAGGGGCTGGGCTTCCCCGGAGCACCACACCGAGATGGAGTTCTCCTTCTTCTACGACACCGTTCTCTGGAGGACAGGTGAGCCTGAGGCACTCCAGGGGCTATGGAAGAAGTGGTTCCTTCATGTTTTCCCCTTAGCTCCTGCACTGCCCCCAGAGTCCTGAGGGAGCGGGGAACTCGGAATATTGCCTTCCTCTGTGCTTGCGGGGGGCTTAGGCAGCCGATGGCTGACGGAGGGAGCGTGCAGCTGGCTCACTGGAGGGCGATCCCAGCTGAACCCTGCCTTGTGGAGGTGTCCCAAACGCTTCTGGGGCTGGCAGAGCCCAGCAGAGGAGAGCGAGGGTGCTGTGTGGGCTCCCAGTGGCGCTGTCCTTGCAGGGATCCAGACGGACAGCGTGCTCTCGGCCCGCCTGCAGATAATCCCCGTCTGCATCCGCGAGGACGGACGGCTGGTCATCGAGTTCAAGACGCAGGCCAAGTTCAGAGGTGAGGGCAGTGATCCTGGCAGGGACACAGAGCAGGGTCACACAGAGCTCTGCTCTGACGGCACAGGCAGCGGAACGAGTCCCCGTCCCCGCCGGGAGCCCCTCTGCCCCTGCGAGGTGGGGCCTCTCCGCGCTCTGCCTCCCGTCACCTCCTTGTCCTCCCCCAGGGCTGTTTGACATGGAGCACCACAGGATGCATCACAGGATGTCAGGTCCTCTTTGATAACTCCAGAGCACCTGGGAGGCATCGAATTTGCCCTGCAGCTGCTGTGGAGTGCTCGGACTTTTGATTCTCCCTACCAGCTCTGGAGAGCAACCAGCTCCTACAACAGGTGAGGGCTGGGGGTGCAGTCCCCTCCAGCAGCTTCCCCCACAGCACCACGTTCTCCCTGGCACCCCTCCAGCAGCCACGCCAGCAATAGCACAGATAATGCTCAGGAGCTTGGTCAGAGCTGGAGCACCGTTGTACTGAGAGAAAAATCAGCTCAGCCTCTTGGAAAGGAATTTTTCCAGCAGTGCAGCCTGTGGATAGACTGATCCCAGAGTCACACTTGTCCCTCGGGGACTGCTGGATGACATTGCTGGGGCAAGGGAGAGGTGCTGCCCTGGGTGAAGAGCTTTGAGCTCTGCTTGGTGACTGCAGGGTCTCCTGTCTGTTCCCAGGAAGGATTACTCTGGAGAATACACCATCTTCCTGATCCCCTGCACGGTGCAGCCCACGCAGCCGTGGGCAGAGCCTGGAGCCGAGCCCCTGCCCTGCCCGGCTCACGCTCCCGAGCGGTAAGAGGGCAGGAGGGCAGGCTCGGCCCCTTTGGGGTGCACACCTGTCCAAACCTCATCTCCCCTTTGTTTCCTTCCTTGTCCCAATTGCAGGTTTTTGATCCCGATCGCCTTCCAGCAGACAAACCGCCCAGTTCCGGTTGTTCGCTCCCTGAACACAGAGTTTCAGCTCTGTAACAACGAGAAAGTTTTTCTAATGGACCCCACCAAATCGGAAAGGTCTCTGGCAGAAATGGATTACAAGGGGGCTTTATCCAAGGGTAGGATTTACCTCTCCTCTTCTGCCTGTGCCCAGCGTTTCTGCTTTCACAGCTTCCATTCCCTGGAGAGGAAAGGGCAGAACCCACATGTAGCTTTGCCTCTTCTACAGCAATAATTGACATCTTACAGCCCTGTGAAAGAACGGCGTGCTCTGGCACCGCGTTTTGTCACTCCCACACACCGAGCCCTTCCCAAACAACCCAAACCCTTCTGAACACGGACACTTGGCTCTAGCAGCGTTTTCCTGCTTGGGAAATTTCACCTGCCCCTCTTTGTCCTGACCTCCCCAGGGCAGATCCTGTACGGGCGCGTGCTCTGGCACCCGGAACAAAACCTCAACGCCGCTTACAAGCTGCAGCTGGAGAAGGTCTACCTGTGCACAGGCAGGGACGGCTGCGTGCCCTTCTTCGACCCCACGGGCACCGTCTACAACCAGGGGCCCCAGTACGGCTGCATCCAGCCCCACAAGTACCTGAAGCACCGATTCCTCCTCCTGGTGAGCGCTCTGCTCCTGCTTCTTCCCGTTTGGGATTTGCTCTGGCAACCAGCAGGTGGTGGCTGCAAAGGGATGAGGAAGGGAGCCCGTGGGGGATGTTTTGTGCTGCTGCTGCTGCCAGCTGTGAACACCAGATCGGTTTTTGCCCACCCTTTGAGTGTGTTCCTGAATCGGTGCCCACGTGTAAGTGTGGAGATGGGGCATTCGGACTAGATCCCTGACACAGGTGTTTGGTGGGGCTCTGGCTTTCCAGCCTCCCTTGGGAAAGCAGACAGCATCCCTGACGACACTTCTCTGACTTTCCAGGACCGAAACCAGCCAGAAGTGACGGATAAGTACTTCCACGATGTGCCTTTTGACGCCCACTTCGCTTCTGAGCTGTCCGAGTTCCACTCAGTGAGCAGCATGCCCGGAGTTGATGGATTTACTCTCAAGGTGGATGCTCTCTACAAGGTATGTAGTACCCAGTGCTTTTGGTAGCCCAAAATGGACTTCTCTGTCCAGGACCTCCCAAACACTTGGTGAATTGTAGACTCTGGGCCTTCAGAATTCACCTCTGATAAAAGAAATGAAGATTAGGATGTTAGTCCTGTAATTTCATTTTTTGTTTTTCCTGAGGCACTCATGAGAAAGCTCTTTAAAAACACATTATTCATGTTCCTGAACGAATTAATGCCATTGCAAAGGCTGGACACCTCACTGGGTGGTCAGTGCTACTGCAGGTGCTTATTAAAACCCACTGAGCTGACTTGGCCAGACACAGGACACAAAACACAGCAGCCCTTAACAGAACCACTTGCTGTGACAGCCACCGTTAACATCCCCTCCCTCCGTGCCTTCCCTCGGGTAAAGGTGGAAGCTGGGCACCAGTGGTACCTCCAAGTGATCTACGTGATCGGCCCGGAGGGCACGGCCGGGCCCCGTGTCCAGCGCTCCCTGGGGCGGCGCTGGCAGCGCGGCCGCCGGGACCTGCCCGGGGGGGCCGGGAGGCCGGTGCTGGATGACCCCCTCATCTACGACAACGAGGGCGACCAGCTGAAGAACGGCACCAACATGAAGTCGCTGCTCTTGGAGAGGGAAGAAGCTGCCGTCGCAGCCTCCTTGTCCCAAGCGGGCGCTTCCCTGGGCAGCGCCTTCGCCGCCCTCACCCTGCTGCTGCTGGTGCTGTCCGGAATTTGCCTCCTCGCCAGGAAGTGCCGGCGGCTGCGGAGGAAGCGGGAGGCGGCCAGGGCCGCTCCCGAGGAGCTCCCCTTGAACACCAAGGTGGAGCTGCCCCGGGGCGCCCCGACGGCGGCGGGCAGCCGCTGCTGCACCGTCAGGAACCTTCATCCACCGAGGGACAGCGGCGGCCTCTGCCAGGGCCAGGGCAGGAGAGTGAAGCAGGTGCACTTGGAAGTCAAAGTCCACAGCAATTTGCACGACGGCACGGAAGTTTAATGGAGCACACGCATTGGGAAAAGCTTTTTATAAACTGTAAAATAAAGATAATCCAAAACTGAAAAGCCACGCGGGTATTTTTTTAGTCTGGTGAGGAGGGGCAGCTGTCAATTCCCCCTGCTCCCGTCTTAGCGACTGCACCGCTGCCCTCCCTCCGTGCTGCTCCAGCTCTCCCGGGCTTAA